AGCAGTCATCAAAAATTTCCCAAAATACAAGAGCCCAGAGCCAGACGGCTTCCCAAGGGAATTCTACTAAACATTTAAAGAATTAACACCTATTCTCCTGAAACTGTTCCAAAAATAGAAATGGAAAGAAAACTTCCAAACTCATTTTATGAAGCCAGCATTACCTTGATCCCAAAACCTGGGCTGCAAGGTTGGTTCAACATCTGCAAATCAATCAATGTGATACATTAATAAAAGAATAAGAACCATATGATACTCTCAATAGATGCTGAAAAAGCATTTGACAAAGTACAGCATCCTTTCTTGATCAAAACTCTTCAAAGTGTAGGGATAGAGGGTACACACCTCAATATCATCAAAGCCATCTGTGAAAAACCCACCACAAATATCATTCTCAATGGAGAAAAACTAGAGCTTTTCCGCTGAGATCAGGAACACGGCAGGGCTGTCCACCATCAGCACTGCTATTCAACATAGTACTAGAAGTCCTAGCCTCAGCAATCAGACAACAAAAAGAAATTAAAGGCATCCAAATTGGTAAAGAAGTCAAACTCTCACTCTTCGCAGATGATATGATACTTTATGTGGAAAACCCGAAGACTCTACTCCAAATCTGCTAGAACTTGTACAGGAATTCAGTAAAGTGTCAGGATATAAAATCAATGCACAGAAATCAGTTACATTTCTATACACCAACAACAAGACAGAAGAAAGAGAAATTAAGGAGTCAATCCCATTTACAATTGCATCTACAACCATAAGATACCTAGGAATAAACCTAACCAAAGAGGCAAAGAATCTGTACTCAGAAAACTAAAAAGTACTCATGAAAGAAATTGAGGAAGACACAAAGAAACAGAAAAATGTTCCACGCTCACAGATTGGAAGAACAAGTATTGTGAAAATGTCTATGCTACCTAAAGCAATCTACACATTTAATGCAATCCCTATCAAAATACCATGAATTTTTTTCAAAGAAATGGAACAAATAATCCTAAAATTTATATGGAAACAGAAAAGACCCCAAATTGCCAAGGGAAGGTTGAAAAAGATAGCCAAAGTTGGTGGCATCACAATTCCAGACTTCAACCTCTACTACAAAGCTGTAATCATCAAGACAGTATGGTACTGGCAGAAAACAGACACACAGATCAATAGAACAGAATAGAGAGCCCAGAAGTGGACCCTCAACTCCATGGTCAACTAATCTTCAACAAAGCAGGAAAGAATGTTCATGGAAAAAAGACAGTCTCTTCAACAAACAGTGTTGGGAACATGGGACAGCCACATGCAGAAGAACAAAACTGGAACGTTTCCTTATACCACACACAAGAATAGACTCAAAATGGATGAAAGACCTCAGTGTGAGACAGGAATCCACCAGAATTCTTGAGGAGAACACAGGCAGCGACCTCTTTGACCTCACCCGCAGCAACTTCTTCCTAGAAACATTGCCAAAGGCAAGGGAAGCAAGGACAAAAATGAACTATTGGGACTTCATTGACATCAAAAGCTTTTGCACAGCAAAGGAAATAGTCAACAAAACCAAATGACAACCAACAGAATGGGAGAAGATATTTGCAAATGACATATAAGATGAAGGGCTAGTATCCAAAATCTATAAAGAACTTAGCAAACTCAACACCCAAACAACAAATAATCCAATCAAGAAATAGTCAGAAGACGTGGACAGACATTTCTCAAAGAAGACATCCAGATGGCCAACAGACACATGAATAAGTCCTCAACATCACTCAGCATCAGGGAAATACAAATCAAAACCACAGTGAGATACCACCTCACTCCAGTCAGAATGGCTAAAATTAACAAGTCAGGAAATGATAGATGCTGGCGAGGATGTGGAGAAAGGGGAACCTCCTACACTGTTGGTGGGAATGCAAGCTGGTGCAGCCACTCTGGAAAACAGCATGGAGGTTCCCCAAAAAGTTGAAAATGGAGCTACCCTACGACCCAGCAATCACACTACTGGGTATTTACCCTAAAGATACAAATGTAGTGATCCAAAGGGGCATGTGCACCTGAATGTTTATAGCAGCGATGTCCACAATAGCCAAACTATGGAAAGAACCTAGATGTCCAACAACACATGAATGGATGAAGAAGATGTGGTAAATATATACAATGGAATACTATGCAGCCATCAAAAAATGAAATCTTGCCATTTGCAAGATGTAGATGGAACTAGAGGGTATCATGCTGCGCGAAATAAGTCAATCAGAGAAAGACAATTATCATATGATCTCTCTGATACGAGGAAGTTGAGAGGCAAAGTGGGGGTTCTGGGGGGTAGGAAAGGAATAAATGAAACAAGATGGGATCAGGAGGGAGACAAACCATAAGAGACTCTTAATCTCACAAAACAAACTGAGGGTTGCTGGGGGCAGGGAGGGAGAGGGTGGTGGGGTTATGGACATTTGGGAAGTTATGTGCTATGGTGAGTGCTGTGAAGTGTGTAAGCCTGACGATTCACAGACCTGTACCCCTGGGGCTAATAATACATTATATGTTAATAAAAATAATTTTTTTAAAAAGCAAAAGAAATTAATAAAAAAGAATAATAAAAAAAGACAAAGGTGACAAACATATGTACATCGAATGGTTTTTTAAATTATAATGCAATTCTAAATGTCATACCAAGATAATAAATTTGGAGATCCCTCTGAAAAGGATGATCGTTCTCGCAAAAATACAAATGCCTCAATTTCCCACAGTAAAAACGTTTTGCCAACAGCCTTGGAAGACAATGAGTGTTAGGAGACATATCTCAAAGGAGGAGTATAAAAAATACGTACACCAGGAAACAGATAATTTCAGTGCTAAAGAAGGTTTTGCAGAAATTTTGTGAGAAGAGGGAAAACCATGATGACAGTCCAACCATGACCACAGCTGCGGGGAGGGACGAAGCCAGGACAACAGCAGGCTAAGGGCCCCCGTCCTGCCTGCCAAGATGGTCCATCAGGCAGCGCCGACAGGAAACACCGAAGTCTGGAGGTCTGAGTGTACGACAGGACACTATTACAGGGGTGCACAGGACTGAGAGGAGCGACAGGGGTCGCCGTGGAGAGTCGCCAGAGCAGAGAGGGGGTTGTGGGATCAGACCCTCTGCCCAGGCCCCACTGCCATCCTAACCCCCTCCGCCCTGCCCTCTAAGCCGGGGTGAATCCCACTGGACAACGCCAGCCTCAGCCTGAGGGTGAGCTACCCTACGACCTACTCGTGAGTAGGACCTACTCATGTGTCCGAGGAACACCCGTCCCTCAGGGGCAGAGCCAGGAGTAGGATGGACAGGAATCTGGGGACACCCCAGCAAGTCTTCCCCAAACGGGCTCTGCTTTCGGAGCTGGGATGGCTGGTTTAATTAGGCTCAACCCTGTCAAAGACATAAATTAAAACTCCCGCCTAGAGACGGCTACGAGAACTGTCTCCGTCAGCAACTGTCTTCCATGCTACGGACCCGGAAAATCTCTCTACAAAATAGGATAAATGAAAACTTACTTGCCTTAAATATAAAGGCTCTAAACTAAAATAAAACAGAAAAAAACAAAAAAACTTTTCATGTGAACAAAGATCATGCATAAAAAATTCTTATCTAAAATATGAAGAAAATTCCAATCTAAAATAGAAATATTTTTAAATTTTTAATCTCACTTATTAAAAAAACAGCAAGGATAAGGTATCATTTTTCATAATAAAACTGGCAACCTTTAGAAATGACAGTATTGATGCTGGTAAGAAGGTAGTGGTCTGGGGGTCTGTTCAACGGCCTGCCCTCGCCTGCAAAGGCTGGTCCCGGGGGTCACCACGCTCCGGTGTCCCTGCGGGCCGCACGAGGAGCCGTTCTCTGCTCACCCCGGCGTTCCGGCTCGCCCGGGCTGCTGTGCCTCACGGGCAGTGACGGTAAATCTTCCTCAGTTGGAGGGAGTCGCGGGCAGCCGGGAAACGCCCGGGCGGAAAGACCGGTACCAGGAGCGCAATCGTGCGAGCAAAAGCGGAAATGCGAGGCGGCCGGACTCTGGTCTGGGTCGTTCCTCCTCGCAGAGCGTCTCACACTCGCTCGCGACTAGCACGGACGTCCTCTGCTGCAGGAGGCCCCGGACGGAGGCAGGCCGGGCCCGCGGAGCGGCAGCGCGTCCCCGGCCCCCAGAAAACTCGGTGCGGCTGCCGGGGAGGCTGACGCGGCGAATGTGCTCTCAGTGTGTCCACGTCCCTCAGGTGTGGTCACTCGCACTTGGCAATGAGCCTCTTGGTGGCTTAGCTGCTTCCCTCAGTGGAGTAACACCAGCTTCAGGCAGATACTCATGTTTTTGTGTTACTGAGGTTTTTCTAGCCCAAGTTTCAGAATAGTCTCTCTTGGGGGGAAACCAGACCTTCCAAACTTCCCGAAGCCTTTGCGGAATTTCCTTTCCCCAGTCTGCTACCTTGAAGAATCTAGCACCATGGCTGAGGTGCGACACAACCCCAGGGCTCCCTGTGGTCTGTCTTCGGGACTAGGTTTCCTACCTTCCCCGCATCTCCACTCCCTTCCCTCCAAGGCCAGGACAGGCATTAAGGACCCCTCAGCGTGAGCAGCGGGGATGAAGTGAGGTGTTGCAGCTCAGTAGAGCTTGCTATGTTTTGGCAATAGGAAAACCGTCATGACTAAATTCTGATTTTTGCACTAAAGTGAACATAAATTCTTATTGGGAAATGAGAAATCTTGACTTTTCTGCTTCCAGCCAAAGCTCTGAAGAGGCAGGGCTTTCCAACGTTCGTGGGAAAGGGAGGGAAGGGCCGCGGGGACGTCCGTCGTGAGGACAGCACCCGGCTCGAGGGTCATGCCAATGCGTCTTGTGCACCCGGGCCAGGACCCGAGGGAGAGGGCAGCACCGCCCGCTCCTCCTGCACTTTCCCACTCTCCGGACCATCTACGCCACAAGGACAACAGGTCCAGACAGACACAGCTCGGTGGGTCTGGGCTGCGGCCAGAGCCGTCTGCTTACCTGGCTGTGTCGGAGGCTTCCAGATGTCGTGCGTAGGCGTGGGGAAGGTCCGAGAGCTCCCGGGCCATCACACGCTGGGTGTAGTCGTCCTGCCACGTGAAGCCTGGGGGAAGTGGAGAGCCGCATTATCAACCCAGAAGCTGAGCTAAAGCCCTTATTTCCGTCTCAGGATAAACTGCTGCTATTTCAAAGTCTGCCCTCAGCGCCGTCAGCCACCCGCGTCTCCCTCACTGCGCTGTCACTGAGGTCTTCTCTTGACACAAGTCGCCATCTTCCGAGAAAACAAGACCAGAACCAGGAGGGGCGTTTTGCCAGATGAGAAGCACAAGGCACGGGGTGCCGTGGCCGGACGCTAGGAGCTGTCACCCGGGGCACATTTCACTTGGAAGAGGGAGGTGACCCCGTGAGGGATGCAGATGTTCTCGAGGAAAGGCTCTGGTCACCTGACCCAGACGAGTGCTCATTCCCCCACCACTGGGCCCCTAGCCTGCCGGAGAGCCACACAGTTGTAATGAAATAAGGGTATTGTTACTGTGAAGGCAATTATCACGGGGCTTAATGTGCTGTATCTGGGAGCCAATTACATTATATTTATCCTCAAATGTTATGACAAAGAGCTTTATAACAAGAACGAAGTAGTTACGAAGGCAAAATCCATGCGATTATGCATTAATTACATGCACTGCAGATCACATGATAATTATGCTCAGAATTACCAAATAACTCCCAAGAATAATTATTATGCAATTTGTACATTTTAGATCTTATGGTAACACTTTAGCACTTAGAACTACCCCATACAATTATCCATAATTATCTAATCACTAAATATCATGTAATTACAGTGATATATTTTTATGCCCTGTTCAAAAACACATTACCAAAATCTTCAAATCAGGACGGCTCCGTGCCTGTTTGTGTGCGTGTGTGCGTGTGGGAGAGGGGGTCCAGACCTTGCTGCGAGAACCACATGTTCTGGGGAATTTAAAGAAGAGCTCAGCTGATATAAGCTGCCTTCGTGAACACATTTGAATTTTCTTCAAATGCAAATCTAATTTTTTTTTCACACTTACAAATGGCAAAATTCAAACAGTTGGAACATTTCTAAAACTCGAAAGGCAATACCCCAAAGGGAAGCTGACAGGAAAAGTCACCAAACAGGCTGGCCTCCTGTGGCAATTTGTTCTACGCTACTCTGCTTGAATATAACATTTAGAGAATGGGTCGCGGCAGGGAGATGCGCCCCACAGTCACTGTTACCCTCACTTAGGATTAACTGTACTTCGTAATAAGCACAAATCTTCCATTTGCCAAAGGCAACTAAAAAACCACCCATATGAAGTGTGTGCTCATGTGACTGTCAACCCCTGGCTGAAGACCCAGGAGCCTTTTCAGCCAAAAGCACAGTCGCAGTGTTAGCGTAGAGTACCTAGCTCTGCGGATTTTGGAAATAAGCACAGTTTAAACACACCATTCCAGAAGATGTGGGTCTTAATACCTATAAGGAAACAGAAAAATCAAGAGCACAAAAGGAAGTTCCTAGTAAAAAAAAAAAACTTTCATCTATAAAATTTAAAATAATAAAACATCAATGGTATTTTTTACCTAAAGAGCAGAAAAGTCTGAGCTCTGTCGATTCTGGGGTCCATGAGGACGCAGTCACAACAGTTGGCCAACTGACAAAGGTGCCGTATACAGGCCATCTGGGAGGGGCCCTGAGCCCCTAGACTGGCTTCGAAGCTTTCCTGGGAACAGGAAGAAACTGGGCTCTTGGATATAGAAACCAAAGCAACACATACACTTGGGATCAGGTGTCCTCTCTGAACGCCTCTCGAAGGCCTCTTGGAGAAGCTAAGCCCTGGGAAGAGAAGACCTGCTTCCAGGAAGATGGAGAAGAGGTACTTTCCCCCCTTCCCACCAGGCACAAGGAAAACCCTGGAGATGATGTGCACGGGAGGCTGTCAAGGGAGGACAGGACACAGGCTGCTTTGCTCCCAGGGATCAGAGGAGTCACACATCCGGGGTTCCCGGGGCTGTCCTCTGGCCTGTGCACCTCACACTGGAACTGAGGCAGCGACCTGGGAGCACCGAGGGCAGGTGAAACCCTGAGGTCACCTGTCCCCAGCCAGAGGGCCAGGAAAGGACTGACTCAGCACATTCAGATGGTAACAGCTTTCCTCCCGTCAAATGCCACCAAAAAAAGCAGAGCCCACCCATGCCCATGCTAACAAAGACCAAGGGGGACCCTGCATCCTCTCTTATGAAACCAGAATGAGGCCCCTGACCTCCCCTGACCCTGCCAGGGTCAGCAGAGCAGTCAAGTAGGGAGTGGGTGGCACACCCACCCCCCATGTCAGACCCCGCATGGAGAACACATGGGGAGTTCAAACTCCCCCATCCACTCTGCCCAGCGTTTGGCCAAGACCCCTTCCTTCAGATGTCAGCAGAAATCTAGTGGGGAGCCTGGATTTCCACCTCCATGTTCGCAAGAGAGACGCCCCCATACACACATTTCCCCACCGCTTGGCCGCCAGCCTGCCTGCTCACCACCACATCTCGAGAATTTGTTCTAACTCCAGTCTGCCGGAGTGGCTGCTACAGGTCCGAAAAAGCTGGAACCACAAGGCTTAAATGAGATCCAGAGTCACAGGATAGAAGGCTAAAATGTTCAGGTTTCAACAGAAAATCAGTTGTCACACCAGAACTGGGACGATCTCAGTCTGCAGCCCTGAACACCAAGGCTGGAAGATGCCAGCATTGCCTGCCAAGGGTTGTATGGCAGCCTGAATAAAAATGTTTCAGTGAACAGCTATGAGCATACTCGAAAGAAACGAAAAACTAGAAGGCTTAGCAAAGGAGTAGGAAGTCTCAGCAAATAAACAGAGAAAGAGCAAAATGGAAATACTACAAATGAAAAAGACCGTAACCAAAAGAAGCAGCTCAAGTAGCTGCACTAAATGGGAGGATGAGGGATGGAAAAACTCATAAACCAGGAAAAAAACAGAAATCACCCAATTCCAACATCAGAGAGAAAATAGTCTGGGGGGAGGGGAAGCATGGACAGAGCCTCAGGGAGTGTGGGACTATGATAAAAGATCTAACAACCATATCATCAGAAGGGGAGACGAGGAAGGCAGGGCTGAAAGGGCATTTGGAAACATGATGGCTGAAAACTCAACTCTGGCAAGAGATAGAAACCTAAAGATTCACAAAGTTGAGCACCTGAACAGGGTAAACCCAATCTCCTCCAAGACACACACTTAAACTTCTGAAAACTAAATGCAAAGAAAAAATCTTGACAGCAGCCAGAGAAAAATGACACCTTACCTATGAGGGAATCACAACCCAATGACAAAGGATTTTCCAACAGAAACCAAAGAGGCCACAAGGAAATCACACATTTTTCAAGTGCTGGAAGAAAGGAACCATCCTGAACCAGCCCTGAATCCTGAACATCTACCAATCCAGATACCCATCAAAAATATCCTTCAAGGGGACTCCTAGGGGGCTCAGTCAGTTAAGCATCTGCCTTTGGCTCAGGTCATGATCCCAGGGTCCTGGGATCGAGTCCCACACTGGGTTCTTTACTCAGCGAGGAGCCTGTTTCTCCCTCTGCCTGCGACTCCCCCTGCTTGTGCATTCCCCCTGACAAATACAGAAATAAAAATCTTTAATAAAAAAAGTCTTTCGAGAATGACAGGGAAATTAGGACATTCTCAAAAGCAGAAAAACGAGACTACTGCTTACAGCAAACGTGCCCTAAACAAATTTATTTAAACAGAAGGCAAAGATGGAAGAAGGAACTTTGAAAGATCAGGAAGGAGAAAAGAATGTGGAAAGTAAAGATGACTAGTTTTCCTTCTCTGGAGTCTTGTCAATTATGTTTGACTGCTGAGGCAGACAGGACAACACTGTCTGTTGTACTTCTAAATGTGTGTAGAGGAAACATTCAAGATAATTACAATAAAGAGAGGGGAAGAGCCATAAAGGGAGGTAAGTTGTCTACACCCTACTCTAACTGGTAAAATAACGACCATATACTGTGATTAGTTCTGTATATATAATGTGGTATCTTGACCATCCACTAAAAAAGACTATCAAGAGATACACTCAAAACCCTGTAAGACAAATCAATAGGGATTTCTAAAAAATTGTTTACATAACCCTAAAGGAATGCAAAAAAAAGAAAAGAGAGAAAAAAAAGATCAGAAAATAAATAGTTAAATGGTAAAAATAACATATCAATAATTACATTAAATGTAAAAGGGCCAAATATCTCAGTGACAAGACATTGACTAAGTGGATTAAAAGCACATGATCCAACTATATGTTGCTTATATGAGACTCAGTTCAAATATAATGCTACAGAAAGACATTATCACGCAAGCATCAATCAAAGGAAGTAGTGGTGGTTACAGTAATAACAGATAAATTACTCATTAAAACAAACAAAATTACCAGGGACAGAGAGATACTATATAATGATAAAAGAGCAAATCCCCAAGAAGACCTAGGAATCCTAAATATATATGCACCAAACAACAGAGCTGCAAATACGTGAAGCAGAAACTGGCAGAACTGAAAGGAGAAACAGACAAACCCACCATTATAGTCGGAGACTTCAACATCACTTTTTTAGCAACTGAACAAATAAAGAGAAAATCAGCAAAGCTGGGGAAGAAAACGGTCACCAATCAGCAGCTCTAATCAGCATTTATAGAACACTCCTCCCAAGAAGAGCAGAGCACACACTCTTCTCAAGCACCCACAAACATGTACTGAGATGACCGCCTGGACAAAGAAACAAATCACGGCAAAGTTAAAAGAATCAGAATCATCTGAAGTGAATTCTTCAGTCACAATGGAGTAAACTAAAAACTAATAACATATCTATAATAATAAAACCTCCAAACACGTAGAAATTAAACAAGCTTCTCAATAATCCATGGGTCAAAGGAAATCCAAGGGAAAAATACTGAATGAAAAGGAAAATGCAACAAGAAAATTTTGTGAGATACAGTTAAAGTTGTGCTAAGAGTGAAATTTTTTGCACTAAATGTTCACATTTTTTAATGAAGTCTCAAATCAATCATATAAATGTAC